AGCCCGGCTCCTCCCCCTGTGCCGCGGGGCTGAGCCGGGCAGCCCGGCTGGGGCCTGCTGGGGCCCGCAGCTGCTGCCGAGATGCAGGGAATGCTGAGCACCGCACCGGGCTTGAACCATCCCTGTCCGCTGGAATCGCGCTGCTCAGTTCCCAACGTCGGCTGCCTCGTTTCCAAAACGCAGTTAACTGTGAATGTCAGGAAATGCTGTAGTTCAGCAAATGAACTGGGCCATCTTGTGCTGTGAGAGGATATAGAAATGCAGCATGCTACTCGTGTATAATCTCAAAAGCTAACAAGAGTCCGTACACTTTCAAAAATAAACACGAGGGAATAGGAAAAAATAATTGGTGAGACTAGTGCAAACCAAGGCTCTCATCTGATTTCAACTTTGTGAGGAAGAAGAGCAAGGCGGGTCCTTTTTTTGCTTGGTACTGAGAGATCTGCGGTTTATGACCCTGACAGGGAAGTCATTCCATTCGTGACTGAAGAGAAATGAAGCGGAGGGAGAAGTCAGGCAGCAGAACTTACTCTTAGGATCCTCTCTGCTGTGTCAGAATGTAAGCAGGGAACTGCCCAAGGACCGGAAGGATTGAAGGACCACAAAAGGGATGGTAAAATTGGGTAGCAGTGTGATGTGATGGTGAAATAACATATCCACTGAGACATCCTGATAACCTCGGGGAATGCAAGTATCCAGAGAGATCCCTGAGCTGGACTAAGTCACTTTGGGCCTCTGCTTTTGATTTTAGGCTGATTTGTTAACAGCACGTTGTCTAATACCTTCACTTAATGTAGGTCACGTCTTCCAGGTAGGGTGGGGGATCTCCAAAGTTCTGTTACGTCTCCTGGAAAGATGTAGTTTAATATGACACCAGAAGATTCTCATCACATGAAGTACTGTTTAAAGAGTTTATTATTTTGAACCCTTTATACGATATTTCACGTGACGGGAACCCCTTTAGTTTATTTCCAGTTTGCCTGTGTCTGATATGTAATTTGGAGTCGTACTGCTTTTCTTGTGATACTGGGTGTAATGATGGGAGCCTGTTGGGAGATTGTGTTTTTGTAGCATCAAGAGGAGTTTGGATCAACTAGAATGTATTTAAGATTTTGAAACACTGTATGTGGAGGGTTAAACAAGGAGGTCTTGAAACTCTTCTGCTTGCCAGTTCTAGGATTTGATGTAGCTATTTGTGACGGCAAAAAAATCGCATGTTGATTATGGCAGAAATTTTTTTTAAAAAGCGCCTTTTTCCCCTGACTTCAGTGGTCTCTAGGCACCTGAAATCCTTCAAGGATCTGAGCCACTGCTGGTGATTCAACAGTGTGCAGAAGGCCTTATTCTCTCTCTCTCATGGGTGTAAAACTCGCAGACCACTGGTGAATTGTACTGCAGTGGAGCGGGTATGATATTCTACCTACACAGTACGTCCCAGTCGATGTGTGGTGTCAGCGCTGAGAGCCAAGTCAGTAGGTGAGGAGATGCGATGTAGCACCATTAGTCAGCCGGAACGGTATTCTTTCTTCGTAACGCTATCAGCTTTTCTTTCAAAGCTGCTGTGATATATTTTGAGAGGAGATTGGGATATCATTGAAAAAAATGAATATTGCATTCTTGCATTTTTTCTGATTGTTGTAAATATTTTGCCACTAGGTATGAGCATCCTTCAGAGGAAAGAGGACATCTTCTCAGACTGTAAAAAAAAATTCTGGAATACATATAAGGTGAGGCAAGCAATTTACTTATCTCCCAGCTAAGCAAAAAAATAATATTGTGGATAAAATACTTCCTCCCACAAGCTTTCTCTCACTCCATTCTTTGATTATGTGTAGGAAGCTTTAAGTACCAGCAGTCTTGTGCAGTCAGGGTAGTCTGGAGCAGGCACTGCTGCCAGATGGGTGAAATGATGCCATTTTAAAAAACGTACAGTGTTTATATGTACAGCGCTTGCACCCACCTCTGTTTGAATGACAGCCCTACAGTACAACACTGATTAAGACTGTACTACCTTTTATCTTATGAAGTACCCACATGCCAGTGTTAGGTAGTAATGCTGTTGAGAACACTTACATGAACACCTGTTAAATGCATTAGTTATAGAGACATCTTTTTTAGGAACGGTTTTCAGCCTTTTCAGTGACTGTCTTCTCACATTCAGAAACACAATCCCTTGTTTTAAGAAGACTTTGGTATAAATAGCTGGTTTTGGTTTGCATGCCTGTGTACACAGGACAAAATTATCCATGATACCTTGGAGCTGAGCAAATTAAGATTTTTAAAGATTTCTCAGATGCCGAAAGAATGATAGATTAAAGGAAAAAAATATAATAGAAGGAGAAACTGTGATGCAATGTGGATTTCTCTTCACACTGTGGAACTATATAGGTAGGATAGAAAAGGATTATTTTTATTCCTATGGAGGATGATTCTAAAAACAGTGCCCACTATATCCAATCAAAGCATAAGGTTTCCGTTGACCTTATGTTCTATGAGTAAATTAGCCATTGATTTTTGCAAAAAAAAAAGCCTTTCATGTATGAGTAACTAGCAGGAGCATTGCAAGTGCGAGATAAATAGTGTTCAGTGGTATTTTTCATTCGTGGCTGAAACAAATGTTCATATATTTAAACATTTGTTCACCCATCTGGTAAATGTGCTTATGTATCTGGTGTCAGGTGACTATGAAGACTTAACTGTGCTTAGAGTTTTGTGTTTAAGAGGAGTTAGAATGATGTCTTTGAGCAGCCCACGAATGTGTTGAGAAGTTTAATATTGCAACCTCTGAGCTAAGCACCTGAATTTACTATTGGCAGCTTTTATTAACTTTACTCAAATATGTTGCAGTTTTCTTTAAGTGTGGTAAGAAAAAATTAATGTTTGTGGTCAAAGTCTTTAAGAATAACAAATGATTCATTTTCATTTCAGACGGGGCTGATGTACTGGCCTTTCGTGCAGGTGAGTTTTTAGAGTAACTCAGTGAGCCTTTCTTCCTCATTAAACCTGATCCGAAGCATTCGGGGTGTATGTAACCTCGTGAGAAGTCAGTGGAGTTGCTGGGTGTGTAGGTGTAAGACCTGACAATGCCTGGAGCACTAACTGAGCTCTCTCTCCTTCCAACACAGCTGTCAAACTTCCTTTTGGTCCCTGTTTACCTGCGAACAGCTTACACTGGGCTCTGTGGCTTTGTCTGGGCTACCTTCATTTGCTTTTCCCAACAATGTGGAGATGGCACAGCAAAGTCAGCATTTATGTGGCTCCAAAGAGAGGAGGTCAATGCAGACGAAGAACCATCAAAGAAATAAGAACTTTAGTTCTGAACACATTCCAGATTGTAAAACTGGGTTTATGACAGTCAGTAAACTGCACTGCAGCCTCATTGCTGTGTTTAAAATAGTCATCTCAACATTTGTTGGTTAGTATAAGCAGTGGAACAGTTTGTCTTTGTGCCTGTTTATTTTTCATAAAAGAGGCCAATTGTATATTGGCATTTAATTATTTTCATGCTGCCAACCCATCTCTTCTGGGAACAACTGACTTGCAGGACAATGTAAGCATTTGCACATCAGGTCAGACTGCCTCACTGGGGAGAAATGCTAACTCTAATTTTCAAGCGACATGTAATTGCTAGAAGAAGGAGAATAGAACATGAAATCATCAGTTGTTGGACTTGAAAATTGTTACCATTCCAGGATTGCTTTTGCAGAACAAAGTTTAATGGATTTCTTATCTAAAAAGCGTCACTGAATCTGTTTTCTTCAGGGAAAACAAAAGTGCAGTGGATTGTGGGGACCACTTTTCTAAGGGACAAACTTGCTTTATTTACATGAAAATCTATATAGCAAATGAATTATTTCATAGAATGTGCAAACCTGAAATACATTTCTACATCTTTTATCTTAACTGGGAGAATAAAGATAACTAACTTTGGTCAGATCTTCGGGGTGGATGCTGCCCATTGACACTTGGGGGAAGCATCAGTCTTAAGCAGCCCCTGCACAATGGAACCTAACTGCAGTGAGCTTTTGTTACCTGTGTCAACGACTTCCTCCGCCCCTCAAGGGTCAAAGTATTGAATACATGGCAGTCTTGACACCTTGACTCTTTTCTACTGTTTCGTTATGTTCAAGATACAATTAAGATTTTGAAGAAGAGTGTGGGAAGGAAGGTAATGTGAATGCCAGAATCCATCTCTAAACGATCCAGTTATATATAAGGAACTTCTTTTTCTTCTTCAAATGGCTTTTAAACATTCCTGTTTATAAAAGCCATAGGGTAACCACACATAGGAGACTAGGAGAAGGTGAAAAATAATTACAGATCTGCTTGGTTGACTGAGGATCAGGTTTGGATGCAGGAAGCATATTTTTAAAATGTGCTTGTGTATCTCAGAACAGGAACTGCAAATTTCTGTGTTTGCAGTAAGTTGAAATCAAACCAGTAAAAGAGCCCTTGGTATATTAGAATGGGATTTTATGCCTTGAAGTTACTGAATTGTAAGCTTGAAACAATGTCTGATTTAACCCATCTTGATGATGATTGTAAAGAGAATACTCAACCCTCTTTGTTTCAATAATATTAAACCACCTTGAGGAATGTCTGAATTCCTCAGTCTTGTCTAAATAGTAAAGGAAAGCCTGCTTAGGCTATAAATATACATGTCTTGGGCCAGCAACTGTAATACTTAATATATTGCTTACTGTGGGAGCCCAGTGCCGCTTAGCGCAGACAGGGAAAGGGTTGGTGCAAGTAGTGCCCGGTCTACTCCCGGTAAAATCGACTTGTTTAGCATAACCCCGTGGTCAGGAGTGATGCAAGGTACCCGTGTGGCTCTGTCTACAGGACTACAGCAGATGGGGCTGGGGGGAAGGCTATCTCTGCAGCCTGTTTTGCTGGCAGGCAGGTGGAAGAGGTAGCTTCCCTCTCTGGGTAGACAAGTGACTGCAATTCCATCTTCAGCTGCACAGGCAGACGTGGAAGAGGACACCTGCCTGAGATCTTAAGGTGCACTGCATTTTAATTGAATTTTGACGTCTGTAGCATGGACATCTTCAACTTGGCTGGTCAGTTTAAGCTCTGTTTGCGGTCAGTGGAGGAGGACAGGCAGTTGTAAACATCTGGTTTAGGGTATAGTGAGTCTGTTTCCCTCCATCGATAAGTCTCGGCTGACTGGCTGCTGTGTAGATAGCTTCACTGCAGATGGGGGAGTTGAATTCCCCTGTTTGGTATCTATCTTACATGTCCCTGCGGGAGCAATTTAGAGATGCTGCTGTGTGAATCCCACTGTGTGAGTTGGACAGTCCTGATGCTGGGCATCCCAGTAGGAGCAGAAATCCACAGAGGGACTAACTTCATCTTACCTGTCTGTTTAAAAAATGAAAGATGAGTGAATATGTGTTCTATTAATATATAGCTGTTAAATTGTTATTGTGCATATAAAGTCCTCAGGATAAAGAAGGAATTTCAGTAGTGTTTTTTTCTGTTGATATTTTTAGGATCAGAATAGTGTTTTAAAGTCTGTTCTATTCAGTGAGACTTCAAAGTTTCAGATTAGGTGTGCTAATTAAGGATTTGACTTTTTATTTTACAGATGCTATTTATTTTTATTTCTGCTTGTGCCTTAAGTGTTTAATGATTAATAGAATTCACTTGAAGAAGGGAACTGGAAAACATCAATATTACGAGGGGAGGGAAGTAGTGAAATGATGTTGGCTTGCTGTAAGCAGTATGCAATGTTCTGCTACAGTTCAGTGCAAAAAATATTTTTGCATAGGTATAGTTGGTAACACTTAATCCCCAGGTGAATCAAGAATTTAAAACCGTTCTCATGATCTGTGTAATGCTGATGGTCTTCTCGGTAGGAATATTTAATTAATGGGAGATTCATCTTTTATTTTAAATGGCTTAAAAGCTTATGCAAGCTGTGCTTTATTGCTGTGTATTTTTGGGCTGCTGGCTTTTTGCATGGGAATTTGAGCTAAATCCTGCTTTGTCTTCAAGTTTCTCTGACTGTGGGCTTCAGGGTTTCTCTCCATATTTCTGTTACTTGAAATACAGTTCTTTCATGTAGTGGAAGCCTGTAGCTCTTGCATTTCAGTACGCTTTAGATTTTGCATAATCCTTTCACTTCCTCTGTTTCTTATGGTAATGGACTTGACAGTGAAGTAACCCAAGTTGCTTTTCTCATTAAAAAAATCTATTTTTTTCCATTTCAATTACAAGCACTGATTGGTCTCACGAACATTTCAGACTCACATAATACAAAACAGTGATGTTGTGTTGCAACAAATTCTCAGTATGCATAAATTAATGCACCTTCTGAAGATTTTCTGCCTCTCTCCGTTTAGTCTGAGGACCTTACCCCTTAGTTATTAAAGACTATTATTTCTTGACAATTTTTTGCCTTAGAAGATTAATTTCACAGAAGAACAGCATGGTTGAGGTTGGAAAGGACCTCTGCATGTCCAGCCCAGGCCATCTAGTCTAACGACATTTGACACATAGAAACTTTTGTTTGCTTCTTCTAGTAATTCAGTAATTTCTTAAAAAAGGAAAAGGAAAAGACAAAGAAATGCCCCTCCACCACCCTTTTAAAAACAGTCATAAGGGCTTTATGACTATTTCAAGTAATTGTGCTGACCTTCGTGCCAGCTGAACATGCAGATTTCAATAACCAGAAAGATGAACGGGATTATACATCACGTAGGTGCTCAGGAAGGAGGGAACACACTGCCAAGAGCTACTAGGCCAGCGTTCAGTGACATTTTCAGGTCATGGGTTCTCTCTAAGAGCAGATGGGATGGGAAGACATTTCTATCGTGGAGTTCCAACTTCGTGTTATTCTGGGTAGCTTGGAGTCTGAATTTGATAAAATGAAAATTTAAAAATGTATTTTTCTACTGCAAATCTTTTATGCAAATGAACCTCCTGTGCTTATAGTATGTGAAATATATCCTTCTAGGCTTGGAAAATTCACCAGAAGGCCTCTGTCTTTTTCACACCAGAAACAACCATACAGTAACACAGCATGAAATAACCAGTTCCATGCTGCAGTGAAGATGGAACTGCCTCTAGTTTGTTACTATATCTGATTCCTTAAGTTCTGTGTATAGCACAGCCTTTGAAATCTATGCAGCCTCAGCCTTCTGATTCTCTGCTGTAAGTGCCAATGCTTTCTGCTCATGCTGCTGCCTCTACTGTTAGTGCCAATCCAGTGAGATGTGCAAAAAATACTTGAACTTGACTCAAGTAATGGATTTCAAGTTGACTGAAAAATGTCTGTGTTTTTGCAAAGGCTTAATAAACATTAAATACTGGGTTTTGGCTCTGGCTGTCTTTATCTCATGTGTGTATAAACAAAGCTAGGTCTTACACAAAGTTCTTACGGGATCTTCATGGACCACACGCAGCAAAAAGCTCAGTTCAATGTCATAGACCTTAATGCAGCAGCAGAGTAAAAGACAAGCAGGGATTATTCACTCCCTTTTAGGGGTTAGTTACGTACATTAAATCATCTGCCACTTCTGAACAAATTCGGAACAGAACTCCCATCTTCAAAGCCTTATGCTGAAGCCCGTGGAATTAATTTCTCTCTTATTAAAAAGAGGTAAAACTTTGATTTAACCATGTGTATAGATAATTAATACATTTGCAGAAGGAACTGAGGAATTCCGGTAGGAAAAAGATAGAGGAAACTTTTAAAGAGGACAGAGATTAGCAGTGGGGTCCTTACTGAGGGACAACACCCTGTATAGTTTGTGTGCGATACTCTTGGGAAGGAAACGGTTCAGAGGATTTGAGGCTGAAGGTAGCGATATATTCCACAACTGGGAAAGATACACCACCTCCGTTCCTTGCTGTAACTTCTTGTATATTTAGAATGAGGAGGAAGCTTTATGGGAAGGCTTCAAGTTGAAAAATTCTGTTTCATAGACTTCATGGCCAACAGGGACAAAAAAATCTCAGTCTGCATCCTTGCGGAATGCAAAGCAAAGAGGTTTTCCTGCATCAAACCCGTGATGTGGAGTCTGGTGCCATCTTCTAGGAAGGTGTTCAGAGACTTCAAAGAACAGAGGATCTTCTGCATCTCTAAGAAATTATTTATGTATTTTCTTGAAATTTTATCACCTATCTGAATAGGTGATAAAACCATAACATCCTAATAGGATACTGTTACTCTCTTTCTGACAAGATTTAGGGAGTTGGTGCAGAACACAACGCCTTCTGTATGCAGGTAGCGTTAAAAGTCCTTGTTTATCCCTTGGGTAGACTACAAAAGTTTAGCTCTGTTAGCCCCTTGCTAAAT